GGCGCTGCCGAAGGTAGGTGCCCGCGGCGCCCTGTTGCCGGAGAGCCCGCCTTCCTTTGCAAGAGGACTCTCTGTGCCCCAAGGCACTGCACCCCTGTGCCCGCCCCAGGGCCGGGGTCTCTACCCCCGAGACTCCTCGAGACCTGGCCTGCCTTCGGACTCCGGTTCCCGTGGGCCCCTGGGGAGGTCAAGGGCACCCACATCCCCCAGACGGAGTGCGCTGGAGCCCGAGATTGCGCCACGTGGGCGGTGCTTCCCGGTTTGGGCTGGTTCCCACTGGCCAGAGCCCTCGGAGGTGAAGAGCCTCCCTCTTCTGGGTGCCGGGCGCCCTGTCCTGTGGGCTCCCAGAGGAACCCAGCGTGCTCAGTTCCAAAGCTATCCTGTCCCCGCGGCCCTTCCTTCATTCTTTTTCCTTTGGAGCTGAAGGAGCCCTCCGGTTTTCCCGTGCGGTTTCTCATGATAAATGGGCAGGGAGCTGAATGGACCCCGTGGAGTCGCCCGCCCAAGTCCAAACGGGGACCCCTCCTAAGTCCCTGGTTGGCTGTGGAACTTCAGGACAATTGCATGAGCTTTTCAGGTGGGAGAAGGGGCGAACTGATCCCTTTTGCCATGCACTGGCCCCTACCCTAGTGTCCACCGCCATCCTCACCGATTTTAGGTCTGCCCTCCACCATGTAGCTCTCAGCTGAATCGTCCACCTCCAGTCACTTCTCTCCACCTGCCTCCCTGGCAGGTACCCCTCCCCCAGTTAAAGCCCTCACTCCGCCCTGGCCAATGTGGCTCAGTTGGAGCACCATCCAGTGCACCGAAGGGTCACAGGTTGTCAGGGCACATACCAGGATTTTGGGTTTGATCCTTGGTTGGGGTGTGAAGGGAGGCAATATTGGTTTCTCTCTCTCTCAAATCAATAAACATATCCTTGGGTGAGGATTGAAAAACAAAAGCCCCTCACTCCCCTGCCTTGGTCCCTGTGCCTGACCCTTCCCCACCCTCACCCCCAGACCACATCCAGCCCAAGTTCCTCTGGCTGGTACCAGATCTGAGCTGGCCCTGCTATTAATGCATGTTGAATGAGTGATCCGAGGAAGTTAGAGATCTAATCCCAGGGCTCAAACTGTTCCCTCGGACTCAGAGGCTTTGAATGTCCAAGGTGGGGTAGAGATGAGGGAGGTTGAGTGGGGGTGTGTCTTCTGTGGTAGGCAAGTGGCCTCCAAAGACATTCATCTTCTTTGCAGGTGGGATTAAGTGAAGGCCCCTGAGATAGGGGTGATCTTAGATTTCCCCGGGGAACCCAGTGTCATCACACCCTCAGAAGAGGGAGACAGGTGGGTCAGAGTCAAAGATGGAAGATGCTGAGTTACTGGCTGTTAAAATGAAGGGGCTACAGGCCAGAGATGTAACGCCTCTAGAAGCTGGAAAAGGCAGGAAACGATCCTCCATTAGTGCCTTGGAAGGACCAGCCCTGCACACTTGGGTTTAGCCCCATGAAGCCCAAGTCAGACTCCTGACCCCAGGATGAGTATATGTGAATTAAGCCACCAAGTTTATGGTGCTGTGTTCCAGCAGCCACAGGAGGCTCAAAGTGCGGAGGCATCCCAGGCAGGCTGAGCCGGGTGTGGGCGTAGGGTGGTTCAGAGAGCTCCTCTGCCTGCCTTGGGCTGGAAGAAGCCAGGCATATTATGGTAGACATGGGGGTGGCTCAGGTCCCTGATGCAGATGCCCCTAAACCAGCCGTGGGCAAACTACGGCCCGCGGGCAGGATCTGGCCCGTTTGAAA